CACACACACACGCACACGCATGCACACACACACACACACGCACACACACACACACACGCACGCACAAACACACACACACAAAGCACACAAAGCACACAAAGCCTACACACACAACCATCTCCCTCATCCCCAGGCATCGTGAAGGCGGCGCCCTTCCTAGAAATGACAGAGGCCGACTTTGACGCCGTCATATCAGTCAATCTGAAGGGCGTGTTCCTGTCCTGCCAGGCCGCAGCGCGCCGCATGGTCGCGGCCGGGCGCGGCGGCAGCATCGTGTGCATGTCGAGCGTCAACGGGACGATGGCGATCCCCACCATATCCGGCTACAACGCATCCAAAGGTACGGGGGCCCCGGCGGCGATTTGAATGCCATCCCCTGAATCTTTGTGGTTTTGTGTGTGTGTGTGTGTGTGTGTGTGTGTGTGTGTGTGTGTGTGTGTTTGGAGGTGTGTTTGGAGGTGTGTTTGGAGGTGTGTTTGGAGGTGTGTTTGGAGGATGGGTCGGGCGTGTTGGGGGCCCGGCGCACAGCAGGGGCCGGGGCCGTCGCCATTGCACTCTCCGTGTCGCGAAGTCGCAGGCGCGCTGCTCCACCGGCTAAACCGCCAGCCTGCGCTCCCTGTCCTGTTTGCCCCCCCCGCCAATAACAACTTGCCCCCTGACGCCGGCTCCCCCTCGCCCGCGGCCGTGGGGCGGGCGCCCCACCCCCTCATCAAACACCAGGCGGCGTGAACAACCTGATGCGCTCCATGGCGCTAGCCCTCGCACCCCACAACGTGCGCGTCAACGCCATCGCGCCCGGCAGGCGAGCGGGCGGCGGGGCGCGGCGGCGGGCGCCGGCGGCCTGCGGCGCGCCCACCAGAGCACCCACCGACGATCACCACAACCGCCCATGTTCTCAATCACCACGTTTGGATGCGTCCGTGATTGGATTTGCATGTGATGTATGCATGTGGCCCTCATGAGTTGGCACGTCTTGTCTTGTGTGTTTTTGGTGCATTGGTCGAGCATTGACAGTCACCCGTGCCAGGCGCCGTTTGTGCCTCGGCCCCCCCAAAACCTGCACATCCCCTCAAAGTACGTGCATTTCTCAGCCCCCCAATCCGCCACCCCCCACCCCAACAGCATCGACACCGAGGTCCTGGCCGCCGTCGTGGCAGACGAGGAGGCGCTCGGCCGCGTGCTCTCGCGCACGCCCCTCGGCCGCGTGGGGCGGCCGGAGGAGGTCGCGAGCGTCGCGCTCTTTCTCGCGTCGGACGCCGCGTCTTACATCACGGGGGAGGTGCGGGCCGCGTGACCAGTTCTTTCATTACCGCGCTTTCGCAACACACGCGCCACCCGTTTTCGTCGCCCTCCCGCCCGGACGTCCGCCCCTGGCGCGCGGCCCCGGCCGCGCGGCGCGGTGCGGTCCTCCCCTCCCCCCGGACGTGTCAGGATGCGGCCGGGGCGCGGCCCATGGGTGGCTCCCGGGACCGCGGTGGGCCGGAGGGCCTCTCGAAATCAGCGGCCTGCCCGGCCATCCTTCACCCAGCCCCTATCGCACATAGCCAGCGGTCACACGCTTCGCCGCCCTCCCCTCCCAAACAAGACATGTAAGCAAGGAAACAGCAAACCCCGCCACCCCTCCCCCACACTACCTCAATCACCCCCAGGTCATCACCGTGGACGGCGGCAGGCAGGCGCTCAACTACACAATGCCGCCGCAGGCCCCAAAGCCCGGGCCCAAGTGACGGCGGCGCGGCGCGACGCCACGCGCGGGCGCTCGCGCCGCGTTGGCGGCCGCGCCCCGGGCCGGCGGGGGCCCGTGTGCATAGATTGACCTGCCCCGCCCCCCGTGCATGCGCCACGCCGCCTCGTCGGGTTGGCGCGGCGGCCGGGCGCTGAGTTCTGGCCTGCGGCGCCCCCAGATCGAGCACTGGGGTGTGCACGCGGGCGCAATCCGTTGGGGCAGCGAGGGCGCCTTCGGCAGGCCGCGGCAGGGAGCCTGCATCCCTGTACACCCCTGCTGTAGCTACAGCAGAGTCGGCGAGGGCGACGGCGCCGGCGGCGCCGCGCGTGCCGCAGCCGTCCTGGCGTGGTGGCCGCCGGCGCCGTGCTCAACACTTGCACGCCCCACCTCTGGCCGTCAAGTTGAGGCCGGCCGGGCCCTGCGGCCGCCCGAGCCGCTTTACTTCTTGCGGCTGCGCCGCACCCACCGAAGTTGGCAGCGGCAGTTGTCGAGTTGCTTTTCAATAAATTGCTCCTGAGACCAGGTCCTGGGCAAGGGGTCTGGCATGAGGAGGTGCCTGTGGTTTGGTGGGCCGACGCCGCTGTCGCCGCCCCGCCTCTGCCTCTTCAGGCAACCACCTGCTGCTGGCTGCCTCATCGTGCAAATATCTTAAATATCCTGTGCGCAACAAGCGCGGCCCGCCGCTCGTCACTGGCTATCACCGGGGGGGCAGGTCGCTCGGGGGCGGCGGTGAGCCGAGGGTCATGCGCCGTCTGGAGGGCTCCATTGGACCCGCCATTCCGCCCAGACAGGGGGCGGCCGGCGCCTGAGCCTGGATCATCTGGGGGGTCTGTGCTCGCCGCTGCAGGATGCGGACGTCCCAGGGCGGCGCCTGAGTGGGCCGGCGGCCCCGGTTGTGGAATACGTGCTGCGAGGGGCGTCACTGGCCGCGCCGCCGCACATAACCCGGCACTCGTTCCGTGCTTCAGACCGGTCACGGGCTGGCTGTGATGCATCGGCGTAATCGGCGCGCGCGGATGCCGGCGCGGGCCTGCAGCGCGGCTGGCCTGGACAGGACGGTTTTGAATGGGCGCTTGACAGCATTCAGGCCGCGAGCAAGGCCGCAGAAAGTCCCGGGGAAGCGGGCGCATCACGAGCGGCGGGCGAATCACAGGGCAGCGGCACGCGTGCGATGACCCCTGCTCAAACCCCTGCATGCCAGCGAGAGAAGGGGCTCAAAAAAGCAATATCACGTGGCTATTACAATCTGGAGGCAGACAAGGGGTTAGGCACAAACCTTGTCGACAGTCATGAACACGTGGCAGCGTTTGGCAGTTCGGCTCCAACAAAACAATCATCCGGTGCTTCCAGGGCCTACATTCTGTTGCGCGCCTTTACTCTGCATCATATAAGCAGCATTTACGCGCAACAATGGCCAGCCCACCCGCGAAGACGGACGCCAAGTCCGCGGCTGGTGACCCGGACGACGCTCGTATCGACCTGGACGCCACCACAAGCCAGGGAACTCTGGACGAGAATCGCCGTAACGCGTCATGGTGAGCGCGGCGGCGGCTCGGGGCGCTTGCCAGGCAGCCCAGCCCAAGGGGACCGAAGCCGCGCAGCGACTGACGCGGTGAATCAGCGCGCCCCCAGGCGCCGGCCGCCCCCTCGCGCCGGCCCTGCCCGCGCCCGGGCGCGACACAAACGCCCCGCCCGCGCGATCCGGCCCGCCGGCGCGGCCCCGCTTCATCGCTTGCGTCACCCGGCCCGCCCTCGGGTGACGGC